TGTGCATATTAACCACTTCCCCTCGTGCTGTTAACAGAATAATTTATTCTTACAGAATACGGCTGTGTATTGTACACTGTTTTCAGTTTCCTCGGGGCCTTTGCTCCAAACTTTAAGCAGTTGATCTGTCACAGGGTCAGTGCTTCAGCTGCCTGGCACAGAGCCTTATGCATTGGAGGGAAGTTGTGGCTGTATGGGTGTGGATGTACCACTGGATATAGGTGCAGTGTCCAGAGCCTCAGCCACTGTAGCACTCTAATACAGAGCCGGAAGCACTGTGTGGTAGCAGTCTAGCATGTGAAACAGCACTTGCCAGCTAAAAAGTACCACAGACCACTGTTATTCATGGTCAGCTCTTCAGCCATCAGGAGTCACACCGTCAGGGTCATGGCGGGGAAGAAGACCAGCCTGGCTGAACAGAGAATTGTGGCTTGAGCTTAGGAAAAAAAGAGGGTTTATAATCTTTGGAAAAGTGGACAGGCCACTAGGGAGGACTATAAGGATGTTGCGAGGCTGTGCAGGGACAAAATTAGGAAGGCCAAAGCTCATCTGGAGCTCAATCTGGCTACTGCCGGTAAAGATAACAAAAAACGCTTTTATAAATACATCAACACAAAAAGGAGGACTAAGGAGAATCTCCATCCTTTACTGATGCAGGGGGAAACCTAGTTACAAGAGATGAGGAAAAGGCGGAGGTGCTGAATGCCTTCTTCGCCTCAGTCTTTAGCAGGCAATACCGGTTGTTCTCTGGATACCCAGTACCCTAAGCTGGTGGAAGGGGATGGGGAGCAGGATGTGGCCCTCACCATCCACGAAGAACTGGTTGGTGACCTGCTACGGCACTTGGATGTGCACAAGTCGATGGGGCCGGATGGGATCCACCCAAGGGTACTGAGAGAACTGGCAGAGGAGCTGGCCAAGCCACTATCCATCATTTATCAGCAGTCCTGGCTATCGGGGGAGGTCCCAGCTGACTGGTGGCTAGCAAACGTGACGCCCATCTACAAGAAGGGCCGGAGGGCAGACCAGGGAACTACAGGCCTGTCAGTTTGACCTCAGTACCAGGGAAGCTCATGGAGCAGATCCTCTTGGGAGTCATCACGCAGCACTTGCAGGGCAAGCAGGCGATCAGGCCCAGTCAGCATGGGTTTATGAAAGGCAGATCCTGCCTGACGAACCTGATCTCCTTCTATGACAAAGTGACGCGCTGGGTGGGTGAGGGAAAGGCTGTGGATGTGGTCTACCTTGACTTCAGCAAGGCTTTTGACACCGTCTCCCACAGCATTCTCTCAAGAAACTGGCTGCTCTTGGCTTGGACTGGCGCACGCTTCGTTGGGTTAGAAACTGGCTGGATAGCCGGGCCCAAAGAGTCGTGGTGAATGGAGTCAAGTCCAGTTGGAGGCAGGTCACTAGTGGCGTTCCCCAGGGCTTGGTGCTGGGGCCGGTCCTCTTTAATATCTTCATCGATGATCTGGACTGAGGGCATTGAGTGCACCCTCAGTAAGTTAGCAGATGACACCAAGCTTAGGTGCGTGTGTCGATCTGCTTGAGGGTAGGAAGCTCTGCAGGAGGATCTGGATAGGCTGCACCGATGGGCTGAGGTCAAGCTGCATTAAGTTCAACAAGGCCAAGTGCTGGGTCCTGCACCTGAGGTGCAATAACCCCAAGCAGAGCTACAGGCTGGGAGATGAGTGGTTGGAGAGCTGCCAGGCAGAGAAGGACCTGGGAGTGATGGTGGACAGTCGGCTGAATATGAGCCAGCAGTGTGCTCAGGTGGCCAAGAAGGCCAACGGCATCCTGGCTTGTATCAGAAACTAGTGTGACCAGCAGGGCTAGGGAGGTGATCGTCCCCCTGTACTCGGCTCTGGTGAGGCCGCACCTCGAGTACTGTGTTCAGTTCTGGGCCCCTCGCTACAAGAAGGACATCGAGGTGCTTGAGCGGGTCCACAGAAGGGCGACGAAGCTGGTGAGGGGCCTGGAGAACAAGTCCTCCGAGGAGCGGCTGAGGGAGCTGGGCTTGTTCAGCCTGGAGAAAAGGAGGCTCGGGGCGACCTTATTGCTCTCTACAGATACCTTAAAGGAGGCTGTAGTGAGGTGGGGGTTGGCCTGTTCTCTCACGTGCCTGGTGACAGGACGAGGGGGAATGGGCTTAAGTTGCGCCAGGGGAGTTTTAGGTTAGATGTTAGGAAGAACTTCTTTACTGAAAGGGTTGTTAGGCATTGGAACAGGCTTCCCAGGGAAGTGGTGGAGTCACCATCCCTGGAAGTCTTTAAAAGTCGTTTAGATGTAGAGCTTAGGGTTATGGTTTAGTGGGGACTGTTAGTGTTAGGTCAGAGGTTGTACTCGATGATCTTGAGGTCTTTTCCAACCTGGAAAATTCTGTGATTCTGTGATGAGGCACAGTCCTAGATGTGGTGTCACTTGGCCTTTTCCTAAGGCTGATCATAAATCCAACTAATACAACCCATGGAGGACTCCTGAGAGTCTCATTGCAGAAAAACTGGAGTGTTTATACAGTTGAAGATCAAGATGCGCTAATTTGGATATCAGCATGGCAGCTGCTCAGTCTTGTTATACATGAAGTAACAATTCAATGTGAATTTAGTAATATTTATAAAAGAATATTTATAAAAGGTATAAAAGGCAAGTAAACAGCGCTGGGTGTGCAGGGAGCCTACATTCCACCACCACGCGCACACAAACATCATTCTAAATACACAGAACATGGCTTTTACATACTAAACCCAGGTATGCCTATACGATCAGAAAAGGTAACAAACAATCCTTTAAGTTCTATGACTTACTAAACACGAGTACACCTATACATATGTACAATCAGAAAAGGTAACAATCGTCCATGTTCCATGACTTAACAGTCTCCATTTTCCACTCCTTTTCTTGATTACATACAAGTCTCCATTTTCCATTCCCTTTGAACAATATGTCTCGCTTTAAGTTGTCAAGCAACTCGGTCTTCAGGCCTTAGTATCCCGTCCTTCCCAGATTGAAGAAAAACATAGCCATCTCCTTTTCAAGGCCAAAAGACCTGGGTCAAAAGGCACGTTCCGGTCAACAAGGGGCGTAACAGCAAAAGCCTTCGATGGCTGTAGCAGTAGAGGGGCCCATGGCGATGACGTAGCAGTCGGATCAGTAAAAGAGCCCACAGCTCCCTCACTATCTGGCAAGCCACACATTTGTGATTGTGGCACCACATGGCTCTTTAAGGCCTCAGAGATTGCTCGCCAGGTGCCGAGCAATCCCACTGCAACCTTGTCGGTTTTAGTTGCAGAGTCCCACACCTTGACCTCAGTTTGGTCCCATATTTCAGGTTCATAAACTGTCCAATTGTTATTAAGGAGAATAAGCTGTAAGGTTACCAGGACAGTCTTTGTTCCTAAGGACATATGATTCCCCATAATGTTGTGAGGAATGTGTTAACAATTCGTGTCCATAAAGAACAATTCTGTTTGAATCCTGTCTGCCTCTGGGTCCTGCACTGGCAATTTAATTCTTGAACCACAGATGCAGTGTGTCCCGGTCTCCCCCTCAGTCTAGTCAATTTATCACGTCTTCAGAAAACACTCCCTAAATTTATGAACCTGTTTGCTTTTGTTATTCCGGACTTCAGTTTCTAACAGTTACAGCCTTTTTTCCTGTCTTCTTCGAGATTAACTTAACACTGCTATAGATGTGTCTTGTGAATGGCTGGGGAAGAATGTTTTAATTACTCGTGAAGCATCAAATAAGAAAGCTGTTTGTGTTTGATGTCTGGGAGTTTCAGAACAACTGATAACAACTAGTGACTGTTATGGGATACTATGAGGATCCTTGGTATCTGGTCAGGGGGCCAAGAGATTAAGAGGAAGAAAAAAGAAGCAGAGGGACGGTTGGGAGACAAGAACTGCAGGAAGTGTTCCATAAACTTGGAATGGTGCCAAGCGAGTACAAAGGGGGAGAGGAAGACTACGAGCCTTCAGCATGAAAGACCCCTAGAGACCCCCAGAGGAGACTGATGCACATGCCCCAGTAGGAGGAACTGGACCCCGGAAGCTAATTATAATAATCTATTTTTTTTTAGAAGTAGTAATGAATATGTATTAGTCTAGGTGCATAAAAATCAGCTGCTTGATGTAACTGGTGTGCGTCCTGCTGGAGCGAAGACTCCCGGTGCACCCAGCGCTGTTTGCTTACCTTTATTCCTTTATATTCTTTTAATAAATCCTATTTTTTTATTTAATCCTATTTTGAATCCTGAGCCATTTATAACAATGTGCAGCTGCTTACCAGCGAGGGGCAGTTGTGTTCGCGGCTCTGCTTCTCTCAGCTCGAGCTTCTCTCCAGCTCCAGTGCGCCCATTTCCAGCGACTTTCTGGATGAGCTTCTCTGAGCGGTTTGCTGAGTTTGGCTGAACCTATCTTCATGAGGTGATCAATGTGCCTGTTCCTGTCCTGGTCTCTGTTCTGCTAGCCTGGTCCTTTTCATTCCTTATTTCTGCTTCTTTATCGATGACATAACTTCATCGTGTTGCCTTTTTTTTTTTTTTTTTAATCTTGAGGGCAGGCTCCTCTCTTATACCCTTCTCTCCACAGCAGTTCTTTTCAAAACAACTTTTCGTTGGTCAAACAACATTGAATGTAACAACAGCAGCAAACACCCAGAAACATCCATGCCTTAATGGCTAGAGAACAAGAAACCAGAGACTGCGTGGAGTCTCCTGAATCACCCTTCTTTGTTCCCTTTACATTCCCGATGGCCTCATCGTTAGGAGCCTGATGTTATCATCAACCATGGGGTTTGCCAACCCCCATGGCCACATTCCCAGATCTACCCCTTCTTTATTAATATCAACAATTTTCTTGACATGAATTACCACTCCATATATAACAGTCTGATACATGTGATAACCAAGTACTGGGCAAGTTGTTGAATTCTCCAAGCAGGGAAGACCCACCAGTGTACGTGCTTCGAGAGAGGGAAGGATTTCCCCATCCCGCTAGTACTTTTTTTTTTTTTTTTTAAAATGAACAACTGCTTTATTTTCAGTTCCTTTTTGGGGACACATATTAGCACTTCTCATACGAGAATTAGTTTATCTTCTTAGTTTTTGTTTCCTTCATGCAACAAATAACCCCTTTATCCTGGCATCAAAAAACCATTAGTAAGGTCACAATGAAGTCCAAAGCACTGAAAGGTCTAAAAGTCTTTCAACAAACAGTGGTGGAAAAGATGTATAATAAGAAACAAGTCTACTAAAACAAATGCATAAATCATTTGTGAAAGATCTTAAACATACAGAAAATATAAACGTCTTCCGCAAGATTACTGCCCGAGGGGGAGGTGGTGCTAGCAAGAGGAAGAATCAGAACATACAGCTGTGACTTTATCTGGTTGTTACAGGCCGCCTTCAGAACAAACACATACATTAAATATTTAAAATGAGGGGTTAAAAAATAAAGCAAGTTCTTACATTAAAAAATAACAAAACCCATACACATAACAGTAATGGCAGCTGTAAATGAAATGTAAGCATTCTCCTGTATGCAGTACCTAATTTTTTTCCAATAGGAAAAAAAAACCAACACAGAATATGTGCATAACTGCACAGATGTTGAACTTGCACTCCTCTAATTATAAACCAGAACCGCTCATTAATATGAAAAATATTTCAAATCATTTCCATGTTACTGATTAATTGTGTATGGCATGAATTTATAACAGTCTTCTTGGTTTAATTTAGATTTTTCCAAACTGCAGAATAATACTGGTATTCCTTAACACAGCTAAACTACTACCCACATATCCAACAATGAGGTAACATGAATCACAAACAAAAAAACAGTTTTTAAGCATCATATGATACAAATAGAATTTTTAGCATGTATCATTTTTATCAACATATATAATTTTTGCCATAAACTAGGGCTTCAAGCACATTCATGTATTGTCTTCACATTGCTGGCTTTCTAACAGATGATTAATTTCAGCAGTTGATACCTTGGAGAGTTTGCTAAAAAAAAACCAAACCACAAACAAAAAAACACAAAATGTACAAACACACATGACCCCCTTTCCCCTCATATATATATATATAGGTGTGCATGCGTCAAAAAAATAATTCTCTTAATAATGCACAAAAATATACAGTATTTTATACGGGATCTACTGAGGCAGAATACAGCTGCTCTGACAGTCTCCAAAGGGCACTAATTCCATAGGTGTAGATCCACTGCTGTGAATGTCCAAACATTAGCTCTCCCCAGCTGTCCTGTTTTGCTGTGGTGCTGCCTAGAAAGGTGGCTTTCCAAATCATCAGATCACAGATCATTCAGGGTAAGACATCAACATAGTCACTTTCATCAATTTCTGTAAAGAAGTCAATAAAAATGTTAAAAAAAAACAAACAAAATTTGTGGTTGCAAACTGCTCTTTTGAAATTCCCCTCTAAGCAGGAAGGCATGTTGCCATGTTGATAGACAGATATCATTAATTCAGTTTGATTTCTGAGTATTCTGTCTGCTATTGCAGGGCCAACTTTTTGAGCTTAGTGTCTTATGGACTGGGTCATCCAGTCCCTAAATCCATGGATTGCCTTTTCTGAATCAGCAAGCTCTGTTATTAAACAGTTGTATCCAGAAGACCTCCTCTTCCTGAGAAAGTCAAGTGCAGTGAATAACTGATAGCCAATAAATCAGTAAATCAGGTCAATAGCACAGGTATTGATCTGATTGGAACTCTCTGGTACCAAGGCTGTGATCCTTGGCACAAGGCTATGTATTTCTTATTTTCAACGTGCTAACTAAATATAAGTTGTGTTTTAACACCTTTCACAAGAAGCCACAAATTAGATGGCTTTTTTTTTTCCCCTCCAATGTCTCCAACATCAGACCTGTCAATGCAGTTATCTTAATAAAAAGACAGAGACTGAACTAAATTTCTCACCATCATAAATATCATCCTTTCCTAACTTGAGCCTCCGGCTTCTTTGTAGGGGCCTTGTTTTCTTGACTGGGTAGCGAAGATTTGTTACTAGTCCTTGATTTGGTTTCTCATAGTTGTATATTAAATCCTTTAATGTTCTGAATACCTTTTCTGGAATACCTTCAGAAGTCTGCAAGGAAAGGAAAATAAAGTTAGTTAGCAAGCCTATTTCACATCAGGTACCTTAAGCAAGAGGAACTGTGCCTAGCTTATCGTTCACCAAGAGACTGTTTTGTAAAGCTGTTTGGTGACAGAATATTGTTATATCACAGAGGTACCTGCGTGGTGGTGTGGTGATGGTGCTGAGCACAACCTCCCTCACCATCCCTGCTTGAGTGCACTTCAGCCTAGGGGAAGCTGTTCAGTGCTGTCTGTCTGGGTTCAGATCACAGGCTTCCCATCCTAGTACAAATAAATTTTACCTCCTTCAGTCCAATACTGAGTGCTTCTAACCAAACGCTGCACAAGTCTGCATGCCTGGCTACATCTCTCTCAGTTCCTCCCTGCTGGAATCCCTGACCGGAGGTAAAGGACCAGCCAGCTACTGAGAACAAAATTCACATAGTTTCACGTTCATATTTAGCTGTTTAAACAAAACATTCAAAGGGATTTCAGTCAACAACAGTCCATGTGCTACTGATTTTCACTTTTTTTCATGAAACAGATGTTGTTTTCTTACATTACAAAAGAACAGATCCAGTTGCTGTCTTCCCAGTCAAATGTTTCACTCCCTGAATCTGCCCTCCAAGACTTGCAAAGGCAGCTAACATGTCTGGGGACTCATATGAATGTTTCAGGCACAAGCTTTTGCTTTTAGGTAGGAGTTTATTATTTGTCTCAGATTTGTCCAAGTTTACAGCCAGCATCAGAGACTCCTGAGGCCTAACATGGATGACACTCTATATGTAGGAGAACAGGGTTCTCACAACTGCCTTTAAACACATGGACTGGATTGCTTCCACAGCACAACCCCTAAGTAATCTATACAGAGACTTCTGCAACGCTGGCAGTTCAAGGATAGTAATGTCAGGGAGTAAGCACGTTCATTATCTCTATCAACGTGAAGATCCCACTCCCTCTACTAGTCATTGAAAGAGAATGGGGCTTTGGATTCACTTCATCACTATCTGGCAGATATACTTTTTTTTTCTTTTTTTTTTTTTTTTTTTTTCATCTTCTATCTTTTCTTCAGTTCACTATGGCCTGGATGCCTCCGCCTCTGTGTACTGGTTTTGGCTGGGATGGAGTTATCTTTCTTCATAGCAGCCTGTATAGTGTGTTGTGATTTTGTATGTTGATAACACATTAGAGTTTTGTCTGTTGCTAAGAGCAGTGCTTGCAGAGCATTGACGCTGTCTCTTTTTACTACTCTGCTCCCACATCAAATAGGCTGGGGGTGTACAAGAAGCTGGGAGGGGACATGGCCAGAAGAGCTCACTTGAATTGACCAGAGGGGTATCCTGACATTATGCTCAGCATTAAAAGCTTCAGGAAAGCGGGGGTGCTTGTGGTTACAGGATTTGTCTTCCCAAATAATCATTATGTCTGCTGAGACCCTGCTTTTCAGGAAGCAGCTAACCATCTGGCTACTGATGGGAAGTAGTGACTAAATTCCTTCGTTGCTTTGCTTGCACACATGACTTCACTTCGCCTAATAAATTGTCTTTTGTCTTCATCAAAGTTTTCTCACTTCTGCTTTTCTCTTCCCTACCACCAACTTGTGCTGCTGTGGCGAAGCTTAGCTGTTGGTCAGGGTCAACCTACTACACTCCAGAAAGGTCATGGCTGGACCTGGCCTTCCCCATCACCATCAACATATTATTTCAATATATTATTTTAGTAATCCAAAACAGTCTGACTTAAAAAGTAGAAGATCAGAAGTCTTATTTCATATTTGTGACAAAACCCTGTAAGGAAAATTGGGTTTGAAAAAACATAGTGTTTATTATCTGCTGATAGGCAAAACCTAGAAGAGTAGCTGTAATCTATCTCTCTCTATATTATATATATGTTATATATATAAATTTGTCAACAAACCATTCAATTCCACATGGGAAATTGTATTTTTCATACTCAGCCCAAATCACTGATAAGCAAGAGTGACCAGCATACGACAGCTTGGTGTGTCCTTCATGAAGTGAGTTCTGTTGCTTCATTCCAATTAAATGCTACCTAAATGCTGTCAGTCCTGTTGTCTATCCTATTACAAGCAAAAGGTTGAGCCATCTTTTTAAGTGTCCTCTCTACTTGCCTATAAATTGAATCTTCCTTAGTGTAGGGTTCTGATTCACAGAATCCCAGAATCATCTCCAGAATCGCACAGAATTGTAGGTCGGGTGGTGGTTTCACACTGATGGGCAGGTATTTTAAGATCAAAAAGATCATTCTGTTATTCAAAACCCTACAAGATTCTGGCTGCCATGGCAGAGCTTTCAAACAGAAAAAGCTAATTAGGAACAGGAGTAAGTAATGAAAATGAGATTTTTCCTCAGTACTATGAAAAAGAACTAGTCAAATCAGGCAGTAGCTGGTCAACAAAAAACAGATTCACTTAGGTTATTAGGGATTTCTGTGAAGATAATAACTACTTGTAAGCTCATACGTAATAAGTGTAACATTAAAAAGTCAAGAATTGAATAGCATAGAAAAGAAACTTGGAAATATATTCACAGAATCATAGAATATCTGAGTTGGAAGGGACCCACAGGATTGAGTCCAACTCCTGGGTCCCATGCATTTTAATTATTTATTTTTTTTCAGGAAAATTGTCTTTAGTGCAATCTGTACTGATGAAATGAGGGTTACTTACCTGTATTTTATAATACCCCCGCTTTTCCCTGAAGATGCGGTAAGTGTAGATGAGTTCTTCAAAGCTGTGAAAAACATTGTACACATTATGCTTTTCATCAACTGTCAGACTACGGCAAATTGCTTAGACTGCCACAGCTGAACTTGACACTAAGGTTTTGGTTTTGTTGGCTTGTTTTTAAAGTAAACTGCAATGCCATGAAAGACTAAACCCAAAGAGAATGTTTGATGCTAAATACCATCGATTACATATATATGCACTCACTTTTCCATTTCATTCATATATGACAGTCTTCAAAATACTTCAGATTCTCTAAGTCCTGTTTATTCATCTATTAGAGAAAATTAATCATGCATGTTGTTTTCGTATGCCTCAGAAACCCAAATATTACTTTCTCCCACCTTGTCATTTCAGATTCAACCGTCTGTACGTGACAATGCAGAGCTGTTTGATTTTTGGAACAAATGTATCGCTGTCTTTTTTTGCCCTGTGGAGTTATGCCAGGTATGGTAAACATACCTTAGAGTGCTGTGTCCAATCTGCACTCGTTGCACTTTCCCTAGGATAGACTTTGACCAAGCATGGCCAGTTAGCTCATAGACCTCCACATCAGCTAGCTGCCTGAGCTCTCCTCCAGCTTCTTAGGTCCATTTTCTGTGCTGTGTTTTGTACTACTACAGCTCTGTTAGAATGGATCTGGTAAGTCAAAGCAACGAAAATGCTTAAGGTTTACACACCCAGACAGAGCTGGATGTCACTGCTACTTGTTCTTGGGCAGTAAAACACAAAATAGAGCCTAGAACTCCATGCTGAGGTGCTATGCATTTAAAATAAATCTTTGCTTCTGTAGGATGCCTGATTCGGTACTCACCATTAGCAGAATTGCTTCACTGCACTAGAAACCATTTTGTGCAAATGTCAACATGGGAATAAAATGGAGGCAAAGAGCAGACACATGCATCACTGGTAATTGCAGTATCTCTATTAGCAGTGAGGAGAAGGGGGAGCTGTGGCCTTGCTGACTCTCAGACTCCAACGATGTTGGTCTTAGAGTCAGACCGGAAATTTCACCTCAGAAAGACGGTGGTAACACGTACCCCTGCTTCAAAAATGGAGCTACAGCGAAGACACAAATAGCTACAGAGAAAAGTGAGGTGCTGCCTTTCTTCCCCTGAAGTCATACACCAGGGGAAAACAGGCTACCTTCAAACTAATTAGCAACACCACAGGAGAAACCATCACCTTTCAAAAGGCTGATCAGCACCATAAAACATAGCTGAGAGAACTACCAGGTTATGACACAAGACGACAATGTTGTATGGAAAACACACACATTGGCCTAAAACAACACTAGAAGGCTGTCTTGGGAAATGTATCCTATTGAACTGATGGAAGTTGGGAAGTATGGGAGAGGACAAAGAGAAGGAAAACCACATTAATCAAAGTAAGGGTAAAGAATGGTTCTGCAGAAAACTTGCAGTTCACCTTTCACACAAGATCTACTGGTATTCCTCTGAAGAAAGCGGATATAGAAGTCTCCATGGCATACACAGAAGTGTGAAGTTGTAGAATACGTTTCATGTGAACTGCTTTCCCTGTGAGAGCCCTCAAGTAACTGTAGCAGCATAAATTCATACTCTCAATTTCCCCACAGTGACCCCTTGAGCTGTTCATACTTCCATGTATACCAGATGTGATCGTGTACCAGGCTACTTCAACTTCAAATGTGTTTGATTTGACCAGATGTGTACAATACTGGATATTTAACAGGGAGCACATAAAAAAGAGCACACATGATATTTGCGGCTCAACACCGAGCTGAGTCTCTGACCCACAATATTGAAAGCAGACAGAATGGAGGAAGGAACGGAAACCCTATTTTTAACACACATCGAGACTGGAAATATCTGCCAGTAGCAGGTGATATTAGAGACACAAGAGGATGTACAGTAAGACTGACCGAGACTAAGTTAGAAAAGCAAGACAATGGGGAGTCCAGAGTTCAAAAAGTGAGAGAAGGTTTTAAATTTTGAAATATGTTTGGCCCAACTAAGGGTTTCAAAGAACTCATGAACTAAACCTGACGCGTGCCTTTACATGAGAATAGTTTGATACCATAGGCTTCCCATGCTCCCGTCTATCCTCTTCTCCCCATGTGATACCTCCCTAAACTTCACTTTGCAGTTGTATTACAAGTCGAATGTTGAATTCTTGGAGAAATGTTAGTAGGAAATGGCCTCCAGTCACCAACACGCAGAAAATGTCTGCACAAGTTCTACTTCTAGAAAATTATTTGTCCTTTGGATTTCCCATGGTTTTGCTTACTATTTTTTTTTTAATAAAAACACTTTAAAAAAAACAATAAACATAGTTTGAACACTCAGGGTACTGATGGCTTTGGGTATCTTTTATCAACTGAAACAAAAGCTTTATCAAATACAGCAATGGAAGCTGTTCAGAAGATGAACTGCAGATCATGATCAAAAAAGGCAGTAAAGCTGCAGAGAGACTGTAAACCACAACACAGCAGCAACAACAAAAAACAATATCTGAAGACAAGTTCTCTTAATTGGCACGTATGTTCAGTGGAAGGATTTCAGCTATAGTTAAATCTATTAATCTGTCCTGAAACGGAGAATCTTAGGGCAAAAACCTAGTTCAGGGTACTTGCATGTAAATGGCTGGTTACTCTGAAGAAGTTACTATGGATGGTTACACAGTAACTGAAGAAGTTACTATGGACTGGGACCAGTAAAAAACTTCCAGTTAGAATAGATTTACTTTGATTCAAAGCATTGCATCCCAGGGCTACATCTTATTTATTTATTTATTTCCCCCTTCTTGAGACACCAGTGGAAATTCATGGGTATCTATCTGGTTTATGATTTTTTTTTTTTTTTTTTTTTTTTTTTTTTTTTTTATAATGTTAGCATTCATTCTTTAAACATAATTTGCAAGTAAAAGTAAGGCATAAAGGTGAAGAATAATAACCTAAACTGATTTTTCTGAAACTCATTCTTTACCTGTCAAACATTGGAAGGTTAGTGCCTGTATTTTACTTTGGCTTTGTTGTTATGGCAAAATAAACATGAAATTGCCATTACAATGAAAACTTCTTATTCCAAATCAACTACTAAATGCATTTCAACAGCTGCATATTATATTTCAAATTAACAAATGGCTGGTGTGGGCTCGAGGAAGATCCAGAGGCAGAAGAACAGGATGAGAAGAGTTTGTTTTGGTAGGCTGACATGTTGAACCATGAGAACTGCAGCAGGTGCAATAGGTCCGGACCAAGGGACCTGTGAAAGCTTGGGATGAGAACAGCAGTACACCATGGAGGAAGAGCTGTGTGTTGTGCCTGATTGGAGATGAGATGTTTTTCAGCTGCTACCACCATTCTGACTCTCAGGTCCTCTGTGGGCATGTCATCTTCCCTCAGTCAGTGGGGAGGACCAAAAGTTTTGGTTGTTCTGTGTAGCATGTGAACTGCTATCTATGCCCATTGAGCAGCTAAGTTGAGAACAACCAAGTTATTTATTTATTTTTGACACAGGTGAGCATCAGTTTGTTCATCAAACCTGTTAGGTGCTAAGCAGTGCTTTACGATGTAATTCTAACCCAAAGGTTGTTTTGAAACAGCACTGAAAGTTTTAGTGTTGATGCCTCGAATTTCAGAACAAATGCATTCCCCTCGAACAGTTTGTCTCCCTAAGTCAGTCACTGACAGTCTCTCAGTTTCTAAGTCAATCTTCTACCACCCTCCTGATTTGATACCTGTAGACAATCCTTTCATCTCTACGAGCCCAGTAATCTGTTATACCATTGCTGCCACTCCTGCAGTTTAACTATTATTTTTGTTAATACACAAACTTAATTCAAATACTGCTGCCTTCTTTCGGCATTAAAAATCCCGAGGCTAGCTGGAAGCCACATGCTTTTGTGTATGCTTGCCCAGAACACTGTAGATAGACAAATGCACATCTGCAGACTATCACAAAGTGGATCTGCTTTGCTGTTAGCAAAATAAAAAAAGAACCCCCTCGTCCGTCCGTCCGTCCCCCCCCCTCCCCCCAAAAAAAAAAGGAAGAAAATAACAAGAAAAAAGAGAGGGAACACAACTGTGCTAGTGCAGCACTGCACTTAACCTTCATGTCAGCTTGCATCTGCCACGATGTACTCAGTAGGTGTGCACTCTTATTTCAGTAGTTCAAACTCATTACACACACAAGTATATCACCGCTTTCTTATCTACCTCTACTGCATAAAAAGCCATGTCCCAAAAAAGCCATCTCCAAAGCCATCCTCCCAAGTCAGAGACTAATATCATCATTCCTCAACTGTGCTAGGACCTCCATTTGTCTCTTCTGACAGGGTATACATATCCTTTCCCTCTTATGCTCCCTCTGCTCCCATTGTCTCCTTCCACATCACACTGCAGGCAGGTTCCTGCAGTTCCCTCCCCAAGTACTCTGCTCCTCACTTGCCATTTCACTTCTTACTCCACTTCTCTGTCATTTCCCGATCCTTCGTTCTTTTACCCAACAACGCAATACTCCATTTCCCCCACCTTTTTCTCCCTTCTTCTTTTATTTGTTTCAAAAGCAACAAGGTTTTATTTATTGACAAAAAATATGTCCTGACATTTCTGAATTAATTAATTGTGTTGATTTTTCCCCCCCCTCCACATCACACTCAAATACATCCCCAAAGAGAGCGTAAATTCTTTTAGGTTCAAACAGAAAAGACTCAGAGTTATTAACTTCTAAATTGTGAGCGCATTAGGAACAAATCAATTATATATGAAAAAATGTAAAATGGGCTTCATGAACGGGAAATGAAAGTACCATTCCCTACAGGAAAAGAAAATCATAAGATTTTAATTGTGGTGAGTTATGGACTAGTGGTAGTAATTTTCTATGTTTGTCTAGTTCATGGGTTTGCCATACGAATTTGAACAAGACATTACAGCTTTCAGTCTCAGCTTGTACTGTTACATCAGATACTGTGTAAGAAACACAAGGCTAAGATTTCACCAAATAGTCAGAAAGCATGTGAGGAAGGACATGCTTTATATCATACTATGAGACAATTTTCCGAGTCTCGATAGTGCTAAAATGCTATTTACTCATCATTACAGAGGCAGTAACTTTGAATGACTTTCTTCTCACCATGTTTTGGCAGGCTGAGATATTTCCTCTGGGCTTCCTCTATTGTCTGTAGAGAGAGACCAGCATCAGCAGAGGACAATTAATCACTCCTGTGTTGTATGAATTGTCTTTTGCTAATGCCACCCTCTCACCACTCACTACAAAGGAAGCTCAAGTCAACCAGCAATACCTGAGTACATCTATACCAATCCTTTGAATTTGTTAACATTAGGGAAAGAACCAGTAACAGTTAGAGAACATGAACTCTTGGTTTTGAATCTACTTGAAAACTCTTAAGAAATTTAGTATCAAAGTACTTACAAAACACACAGACACAAGGCTCCTTCCACGCTTTCACTTTCTCGTATTAAATAGCTGCCATTCTTTCCATTCTTGCACAGCAGTTCTTCACAGGCTTTCCTTGTTATCTTTCCATGAAAAAATGGGAACTCCATGGACAAACAGGAACGGGCTTCCTTGTCCTTCAGGCCAATTCCAGGACCAGTCAGAAGACTGGCATTAAAAGAAGACTTACTCCAAATGCAGCTGTTGAGAAACAATTGAAACTGGAAGTTTGAAGTACATAGATGAGTTCATCTGTGTTTCTGCCACCAGTCTGTCTGTAACGCAGTTGAGCATTAGTTACCAACCTAATGCTTGTGACAGCAGGCAGGAAATGGGAAACAGTTTGTCTACACTGGTCACGCAGCCCACATCAGAAGATTAGATTGTTCTGTCATGACACAGAGTTGACATTTGAGTCGTGTATCATGCTCTAAGCAATACAATAGCTAACTACAGTACAATAGCTAAGACACCTTAGCATAGTTATAAAGTCAACATTTACCTTTAAAGTTGCTCAAAGCCTTTCCAGACTCACCTTATAACACAATTGTTGGTTGTTGTTATTTTTATGGTTTAATCAAATTTTCAAGTTTCATTGAAAGATGATCAGCAATATTTGAGATATTAGATTTTTCAAAACAGGCCCTGCCCCCTTCTTAATTTTAAAGTGTAATAACTTTGAAAGGTATAATACCTTTATCAAGAAGTTCCACTGTGCCTATGCCATGATTTAGAAAACATGTCAGGAAGGAGATGGGGGTCAGACAGTGTCTTTAGGCACCCCAGGAAGCTGCTGTCAGATCCACCAGGACAGGATACAGCCACGTGTAGAACTGCTGCTCCCTGACTTAGGAAATGCTGCCCAGCTCCATGGCAGATGCTCTCCCAGGCATTTCATAGTTTCCCTGCTAGAAGGCAAGGACTTGGGGTTGGGGGGACAACCCAGACCTGCAGAAGCAGGAGGTAGGAACTACGCTGGACCGTGTTTCTGAAAGAAAGGAAGTTGAGGGAGGACCTAATGATGTGAGGGAAGATAGATTCAGAAGGTGAGACTGAAAAGAAAACAAGCACTAATTGTGCAGATAGAGTGAGGCTGGGTTTCCAGGGGAGAGGGATGGAACAGAAAAAGCAGGGGAGACAGAGTCCTCCAAGCTGGGGAGGAGGATCTGGGTCTGCTGCAACACAGCCTGCTGTCGAGGTCAAAACAGAGTCCAGATCCATGAGTGCTGGCAGTGGCAGAGGCCTTCTCAATTTTAAAGCACACCATTTGCATGTTCACCTCCCAGCTCTGTCACCTGAGGACAACTCTGAAGTCATCTCATAAATGTGAAATTTCCATGGGGCAGCAAGGTGTGGATAACTCACTCAGAAGGCCAGCTCTGAACAGGAACAAGAGCAGCTGCTTATCGCTGCCCGGATTGAGGCACTTTCTTTTTCCTCTGCAGTGATAGGAAAACTAATATTCAACAACAGCAAATTTCTCTTTCAGGAGCATAATGACTGTTCTTCACATTTTTATTTATTTATTTATTTATTTTCCCCGTAAAGACTTCATTAGCTAGAAACAGAAGACAGTAAATTCAGTAGATCTTGCAGGGTCTGCCTCTAGACAGTTATTTAAATGGAAATGGCAGCTACACATAATACTATGTCTAATATTATACCAGTATAACGTCTAAGGATTATCAGAAAATTAATGTTTGTTTGTTTTTTTTTTTTTTTTTTTCATTTCTGAAATGAAGAGTCAGAACTGGAAGAAGGCCTTAAGTATGTAAAAGGGGCTGGAGTAACACCAAACTTTAACAGATTTGATAATAAATAACTGAATATAACTAAAGACAGTAACAATTAGCTGTGTTCTTTATCATATGTATCCTCATTCCTTGTTTCAAGGTCTGGGCAGTTACTGAACTCAGGTAGTATCAGAGCAATGGTACTTACACGGATGAAAATGGCAGACTTTGAGCTTGGTATTCAACTCAAGTGGCATCAGATGTTGACGAACTGTTCCTGTTGTGTCTAAGGAAGCCAACTCCTCTACCTGCTTTTTAAAGAATTACTTCTGATCCGGACACAGAAAAATTAAGGTGAAACCAACAGCTTCTTTTCAAAAGAAAGTGCAATGGGCTCAGAGGCTTCCCCATTCCAAGAAAGGCAGCAATCTCCCCTTATCAAAACAAGTGTTGGCTCCACTTCTTTTTAGAAACACTTCTGTTTTGCTTTTTCAGGAGAAAAATATGTCAGTTTCCCATCAGTTACAGATCTGGGTGAGAACATGGGACCATGTATTTCAGTTATGTGCAGCTGTCTAGCCAGCTTTTTTAAGCTTTAAAGAAAAAATTAAAATTTTCAGCCATCACAGTAAGTTTCTGTAAGGAAGCGAACAAATTTGTTGTACCACTGGCCAGGTGTGTAACACCCTTCACGTGTTTGTGAGCACAGTCCCATTTCCAATTTATTTCTTTCAGATGGGGATGGGGCCAATGACGTACTTGATGCAGCAAGATTGGAACTGCCCTCTAGTCAGATCATTGTTTGGAAAACCTCTTTCCTTTTAGGGTTTCCCATTTTATTTATTTATTTATTTTTATTTTTTTATTTTTTAAATTCAAACAATGAAGTAATAATCCGAGACAGAAGTTCTCACTGAAATGTGAAATGAAAACTTCAAACACACAATCTTCCTGTGGTTCAGTGTGCATGTTGCAAGTTTGGTAGAGCTCAGAATTTAAAGAATACATCAAGACAATATGTTTCTGCAGCTCCTTGACAGCATTCAATAGAAGAGGGTTACCCACAGATTGATGTGATCCTTCTACCTTACCCAGCTGTAGTATTCATGTGGAGTTGAAAACAGGAATTTGATTTAAAAGCAAAAACCAGAAAAATACAATAGAAGAAAGTCTGGGAGGATAAGAGAAGAGAGAGGCTGTAAATACCATCTGGTCTATCACTAAACCACAAACATGATTCACGAAACATGACCGGACACAAACCCATTGCTGTCTCTTGCATGCATATGTACGTTGCTCTGGCACTGGTGGGCTAGTCCATGGTGAAAATGCAAAGCACTGACGAAGACAAAACAGGACTTTCAGGTCACAGTTGGGTATAACCGTTGACAGACACTGTATAAATACTTGGAAGGTGGTGGGAGGTGCCCTTATTAGCCACCTCAGAGCTGTGCCACAAGCCTCTACCTCACTGAATTTCCACCATGTAGCTTTGGGTCACATAATGACATACTTCCATGGGCCAAATTTGCCAATAAATTTAGACCAAATGTTTCCTAACAAGTATTTCTGGCTTAACAAATTTAGCGAGTATTTTTGGCTTACACAAGCCTGCATATCCAGACTGCTCTCTCTGCTTAGATTGAGGAGTGGTCAAAAATATGAGCTGATGGTCTTGACTGCAATGAAACCTGAAAATATTTCATGTTATGGGCCAGGGAAGTTCACAGAGAGCACAATATTTGGGCTTCTTCATAATTGTTCACTGACAGAAATTCTTAGCTGGTGTGATGTCTGAGAAAGTCTCACCTGAAATCTGAAAGGGGTGTTGCCTGCGTGACAGTGAGGAGCAGAGTTTTTCTTGGTGAATTCAGGATAGTAATAATTCAGGATTCATAATAATTTTTGTGCATCCAGACTTGAGCCTGGGCTTCTGATCAGTGCAGGGGAGCTGCTGTAAGCTATAGTAGATAAAGTTGTTCCTGTTTCTCAGCTGCAGCTAGTTCTTGAACTACCTGTGATCACAGTGGTGGTGGAGCTTGAAGCCGTGCTAGCTCATGCTAAGGGCAGTTTGTGGCAACAGTGGCTTTTTGTTTCAGTTGAAAAGTTTGAGAACTGCTCAGTGCTGGGTAATTCGTGACAAGAAGCCTGGGAAAGTAATGGAAATGATGCCACAGCACAATCTGCTGAGGAATTCATTGCACAAACTTACCTGGCTCAGAGGGCAGGGAAAGGTGCAAGAACGGCACCATGCACCAGCTGCAGTCCCTCCAAGCCTGCTATGGGGCTTGCACGATGGAGGCAGTCATGCTGAAATGAATCTCTGGGCATTATGATTCACATTTTAGTAACAATAAACCAGGCTGTGGCTGGTATGAATCTGCTCTTAAGATCATTTTGCTCTACTCCAAAATAGGACTGTGTTGCATTATTTTTTTTTCCGTTGTCCACTGAAGGATGGAAAGTTCCTAGCATAACATTCTACAGTGATTAGCTGGCCTTTTAAATGTTAGAGAAAAAAAATAAATCTTTTTCCAAAGAGAGAGACTGCTTACTCTCAACCTTACATGGAAAATCACTCCATAAATATCTCATATGTCAGAATAATTGTTGTTCTATATTCTCAAATAGATGCAACCACTTCCTTCAGTCTTTCCCCAGAGGTTTTCTAACCCTGCAATAGTTGCGTTTTTCTCTGACACCACTTTGGCCACTACTTCTATAAAATTTGATGCCTCTGGCTGAACAAAGTCTTTTGACTAGAGGAGCAAGATAGGTAGCTACTATTCCTCGCACAGAACGGCTGGTACTGAAACAAGACCTGCAACGATTTTTGCAGCAGTGCCAAGCCCTAGTTGCCTTTAACTTCAGTTTTCTTTCTGCTGTATTGCTGCCTTCATCCATTTTCAGCTTTTCCTTCTGTTCACGTAAAACCTAAAACTTACTTTTCATAGTAACACCTCATATTAGCATGCACATTTGGCATTTGGGTTCTGCTCCAAATATACAGGCTGCAGCTTTAACACAGCAAAGCTCTTAATAATGGCTCTGGAAAGAGAAGGAAAGCTAAGGGAAAACTAGGTTGCTTGACATGAAGAGTTGTTTTCAGTAAATAATTGTAGGGCACAGGTCGGAGTTAAATTGAAAGCTGTGGTCAAAAGATGCTAAAGGCAAAGTCAGTGTGCTTGAAAACTGCTAAAGTTGTGAATGAGACAGGAAGCTGAAGGATCATTTGTAATTTGACCAGGTAGCAAAAAGCACAACACATGAAAACAGAAAGAAAGATGACTTCTAGCTAAATCTCCTGAAAATTTGACACGTTCTTGGGCTGTGGTAGCAGACAGTTGTGTTACACGGGCTTAACTTTACAACCGAACCAATAAAGGGTTTTATGAGTGCTTAATATTCTATAGTAACAAATTACATTTAATTTTGCAAACTTCACAACTGTTGCAAAATTGGAGACTG